AATTATTGCTGTGCAACGCGACATTAACTATGCGACAACGTAACAACAACGTAATCATGAACGTTTAATCATCATAAAATAGGGATTTACTGTAGAATGAGATTTGAAAAATTCAGACATTTTAGAAGTTGATCGTGAATCTGTAAATCGAGTGGTGTTCTCAATTATTTTTAGTAACTGCACTGAGAAAAAAAAATGCTTTATCGAGATATTTACCAAATCCACTTATCAATAACGATGAGGATTACTACCACGTCGATATGGCATAATCTTATCATTAAAAAATTTACTGCGACTCATAGTAACCATTACTATATCCCATGGTATCTGTCTCATAGTAATAGTTACCAAAATTTCGTGACGTTTATTTAATCTACCCCGTGTGTGGCATATTAATGATGCCTGAAGTAACGCTTTTTATTATGTACCTGTAATATATATATACTATCTTTGCAATGACTTTGCGCTGGTTTTGTCTGCTGAGCATGTCAAGTTCAAGGTCGATAGTAAAGTGAAGTTCAGGTGCATTCATATGTTCATGTTTTAGACTCAGTTTATGTACATGATGCAAGTTAAATGAATAAATAAACGTTATCAGCTAAGTGAATGTCATTATGAACATGAAAATGGATGTCATGAATCATTCCAATGATTTCAATAGTTACTATGAGGCATGGTGAACTTCTCAATAGTCAATAGTAATAATGCCTTATTGATAGAACGATAATTAGCATGTCACGTAGAAATCAGTGCATTCAGTTCATATTATTAAATAATATATTATTAAATAATACAGTTCATTAAGCATATTACTCGTAATTTTTGTATAGTAGGTACTATTATCTACCATATGTTGTCCAAACGTAAATTATGATGAAATCATAAATTTTAATTTTAATTTTAAGCTCGTATTTAATGCTTTCCAAGTCGTTATTTACATGATTGGAAACATCATAAATTTGTTTTCAGAATGTATTTAATAATCAGCTTTTTTTATGAAGTGCTCATCGTTGCGCCAGTATAACAAAAACCATTTTTTCTGAAACAAAACGATTGAACACATCATTAAATTCGTAATTACTACCTCAATTAGAAGAGGTGAAAAAGTCTATCGCGATAATTAATGGAACACAGAAAACAGTGAATTACAATACCTTAATTTACTTTTCAGTAAGGTAATTTATATTAACAAATTAATATTCTACCACATATATAATATGTTGCATTTTTTTCGAAATATATGCGCGTATAATTGTATATATTTCGCATATATATATCGTTTTTCGTGCGAGATAATTCTCATTAAAGTTCAATCCGAGAATAAAAAGACATTAATTGAGTTCTTTGAGGAGTATTCGTTATTAAGAAAATAAATTACTAAACTTTTGAAATATTGTGACAAAAACCCTCGTTATCGCTGCCATGATCCGTGGTGTGTTCTCTCGAGGGTTAGGACGCCATTATAGTCGCCATGTTTACCACCCCACAAGAGTCAGCACCCAGTGTGATCCCTCACTATGTTTGGACTTGTCGAGAGTCCACCATGAGTGACGTACAATCCCCCCCAAAAGTATTCTTATCTTCAAAAAAAAAAAATGATAATTCCATATATTTTCTCATTGATATCGCTCCTATTACTCCTCATAAATCAGTAATTACCTTCCGAATTACTCATTGTTATAATTATTCTTATTATTTTATTGATTTGCACTTTTCCTTATTTTTCCATATTTAAATTCAATTTCATTTTACCTTTATTTGGGATATGTAATCTAGAATCTAGATCAAGTGGAGACGTAATCTAAATTGAAGATAAAGTTAAAGAATTATTTTCAGAATGAATAGAGACCATTAATAAATATATCAGACTAATCAGCCAATAAGAAAATAGTTGAATAGAGATCGAGAGATTGCACTATATTTTTAATCATTTAATATATAAATAAATTTACAATACCAATTTTTTTGAGGCGTCGATGAAAAATTAAGTTTCAAAATTATATTCTTATCTTTCAGAATCCGTTGTAAATTCGAATTAAAACTTCTCGGAGTGTATATTCATAGAATCATAGAAAAATTATATTCATATATATTCAGAGAAGTCCTATGTAAAGAGGGCATATGTTGGATTTTTATTTATTTTTAGACTCTGTATAAAGTTAGCTGGACACAAAAAATTAGAAACCTAACTTTGAACCGGCCAAAGCTTTCATTCGGACGAAAAAACATAACGAGAATAAATATCCAGAAACTTGAGACCTTTCTTTTGTTTAAATAAAAAAATGACACAGTTTGGCTAAGTAAACTTGAAGCTTTTATTTTCTGTAGAATTTGAGACGCACAGGGCTTTTTCGTGTTTGCACTCTCACGTTAGAGTGCGCAACACAGAGCTTCCTATTATCGCAATGCCCATCCAAACTCTTGAATCTTTTCTCTCTGCGAGTTCCTCCATTCACCTGCTCGTTATTTAAAACAAGATAAAAATAAGCAGAAAAATGGAGATAGAAAAAACGCCAAGAGGTTCTCCAGAAGTAACTTGTTAGACTCTGGAAAACCAGACAACTCCAGCTCTAATTTAAAGCTATTCTTCTAACTAACCTTTATCTCCCTTGGTTCGTAACAGTCGTGATTCTTCTTTCCTTTTGGCGATGTGCCAACAGCCATTCTGAAAATCCGTCCCGCCATGAAACTCGAATTTTCCTGAATTTTCTCCAATGTCCTGAAATTCGACAAAAATTCGTGAGAAAGTGATGTCTACATCATTCCTGGTCCCCTTTCTACTCAACTTTCTACACTGTTAAAAAGTTTTTGCAATTAAAGGCGCGAATTTGTGAAAATTAAAAAAAAGATTGTTATTTAACATGGCACACCCAATTTTCTGGAATTTACGTGTTCATTGAGACTTAATGGCCGTTTATACGATGTAAAGGAAAAGTCAGGTGACTTCAGTTATTAAGTATATGAGAATGAATTCAATTTAAAAACAATTTGGAATCCAAATTGTCAATGTATTTTCAATTAAAGTGTTTTTGAATTCTTCTGAATTCTATTTTTATCATAAACAGTCACTAAAATTTTCATTATCTCGTAAATTCCAGGAAATTCGGGTTTTCATGTTTAACAATAATCGAGTTTTCAAAGAACATTTAAATTTGCATGCTCTTCGTGAACAGGAAATATCAAATATGATGAAATGTTCGAACGATTAAAAATTCATGGAAATTATTGCTTGAACTCTTCAGGTTTCCACGGGTTTTCATTTTAATATGGACCTGAAAATTGGGAATGACTAGAATATCTAAAAAAATGAAATTTCATCCCTGAAAAATTCTGCATCAATTTTCCGTCATTGCGTGGTTGTTAAAATTTATTTTTGATTGCTGGAAAAGCAATTAGTGAGCTGAACTCGATCGGTTCATTATTTAATCCACCCGAAATCATCGAGGAAAATAAAAATAATTTGAGGATTCAATAAATGATCAATTATTCTCGTTACCAGTATTATGAGAATTTACCGTAAATATTCCATAAATCACACAGACTTTTTGATTAACAGTAGAATATTATAAAAAATATAACAGAGATATAACAGATATAACAGAGAATGTTATAAAAAAAATATGAACCCTGCACAAATGAACCCTGCGCATTGAACCTGCGACCTCAGATAGTCCATGCAAAAAACTTCTGTACTATCGAGGCAAAACTACCTTTCTAAACCTTCCCTCCCTTTTTACCGTTACATCAAAGGAATTATTAATCATGGCTTTTGCGAATAGAAAATGAAATGCGGAAAAACGTCGCCATGAGAGAAGAACCCAGAGATTTTTCATCATACGATGAATGTGAATTGAATGAAAACTTTTTCCTCGAAAGTCTAGGCCATGGTGATTCAAACAAGATTTCTTTACTTAAATAAAAAAAATGGAAGAAAGAGCGTTGAATAAGATGAATGATGAAAGATGATGAAAAATGAGGAATGATTCTCCATTATTGATGGGAAAGGGATGAGGTTTGCGACAGCATACGCAGCTTCTGGTTGAGTATCATTATCATCTCAATCCACGAAAGCAGTGGTGGTAAAAGCATGGGGAATTGTGCAATCCAACCAGCCGTATATATCAGGGGGATTCGCTTCAACTCGATGCCCCAATCGAAAACCCCTCCTGGTTTTTCAACTGTTTATCGGCAATTCCCCGTGGGCATTTAGTAACTGTTTACTCCAGTGTGTATGTGATATTATGAGAAGTGTTGATTTTTCTGTTAGAATAATTCATTAAAAAATGAACAGATTCAGGTTCAACCCCATCAACTTGCGTTTCAGTTCCTTTTTCCTTTTAAGGGTGTTCCACACCCTTTCCCCAAAATTCACTTTATTAATCACCCATATTTCCACTAAACTCAAGATTACCAGGATTTAATTATGATTTGATAATCAACTTTAATTATTAATTGACGTGGAAAAATATAACGTTTTTCCATTCTATTATTATTTCATGCCAACATTCTTCATTTTATAAGTTATTGAATATTTTTTTTATTTTTTGATTCCACTTTTGCGGCTTAATATGAGTAATTTCGGTAACTCCCTACTAGAAATTTCGCTCGGCAAACCGTCCGGTCCGAATGTGGCATGCCGAACGTTATGTTCGGCGCTAGTACGGTCAGCCGAATCCGGCCCGGATAAGGCGCGTTACGCGTTTTTGATGTCCGGGCCGGACAATCTTAACCGTATTTGTGCCGCATACGGCAATCAGGTGAGGCCCTGATTCGGCTCTGAGTCGGTGCCGAAGGAAAGTGAAAACTACAATGTATTTATATTTATTTATATTTATTTTGAACGTTTGAAAAGAAACACTATCATATGAAAGAAATTGTATTATTAAATGCATCCATTCCATTTTTTGCATTTTTCTTAATCAAACTATATGATGAAAATGTACGTATTAGCAAAGCATTATTGCAGATTAGAACCTATATTTTTGAACATTCTTCCTTTGAAAAATAAAAACGTAATCTTTTTTAAACTTTTTCTAACATCAACATCAATAACATTAATTTCTACCATTAATGAATAAAATGGCTTTCCTAGACGAATTCAGTTGTTTTTTTTCCATAAAGCTAGTCCTCATTTCTTTCGTCTCTTCGACTGTTTGTAACAATCTCATTTTCTGCTAATATCTCTGCCATGAATGCGTCGCCATACTCTGGATTGATTGGTTCCTTCAACTTAGTGCGTTTAGCTCGACGAGATCGTCCACCATCCCAGTCTCCAGAATTGTTCAAAGCCCCACTTAATGCAGCATTGAAAGTCTTACGTTCCAAAGGTTCTTTTTTAGATCCAAAATTTAAACCAAAAACAGCTGAGGAAAAAATAATGTTCGAAGTGATCATTCTTCGGAGAAAGTGCTCGAAATAATTAAATGTTTATCTTAATAAAAGTGCCCTTACCAATAAGACAACCATAAAATTTCAGATTCTTGAACAGCTCTTTACCCTGCACCTTCTTCAAAGGGGTCATCTTATTTCCCACTTGTTGTGTGAGAAATTTGCGAAGGACTACGCCCAAATTTCGAGAGAGTGAAAGCCCTTTATTGATGTACTTATGCACCCTCATGCACTGAAAAAATGTGATGTCCGTCATTTTTCAGATTTGATAATCTCAAACTAAAGATTTTTTGAAATATTAAATAGACAATTTTCAGGGTAGAATTGAATCTTGAAAATTTGTATAGAAATTTGTTCGGAATTCAAAAATTGAAATTTTAAAATCATTACTTTACTCTATGCCTAGCATTAATTTTAAATGTTTTAAGCCCTCAAACAAAGATTTTTTTTTGCGATGTGTGATAAATCGCCATGCTGATGAAAAAACTCACAATTTTTTTCCTGTAAGACTTATCCTCTTCCAATTGCTTGTCAAAAGCTCTCAATTCTTCCAGTGTCTTACACGGTAGTTTGAATCCATCTCTGGCCTCATCTCCTTCTGATTCTGTACCAAATCCATCGATTAATTGGCTTGGATGGGGGGCACTTCTTAGATGAGTTATTTCATTTTTCATCTCTACAAATTGACCCTTCAGACGATCTATTTTGTGTCCATTCATACGCACTTGTCGGCAACACATGATCATGATTTCCTTCAAATCTTTTTCTACATAAAAAAGAACAGAGTAGAAATACATAAAAATGTAAAGTTAAATAAAAATAACAATCAAGCGACGAAAAATGCTAAGAATAAAACGTACTTTCATCTTCCAATCCATCATCATCTAAATCTTTAATAGGTCTGGAGAACGAGGCTGGTGATTGTCTTGGCTTTGTAAGATTGATGCCTGAACTCTTAAACTTTCGCATTGTGACTCTATTGCCGACATCCTTCAGCGGCGATCTTGGACTAGAACTGCCTATCGGCTTTGGGGATGTCAAAAGTGAAAAGTGGGGCGAAATTGAAGAGCTCATAGATAGAGCTTGAGTTGAAGTATTCAAAGCTTCTGAGGATTCGTGAATCATCTGTGGAGTAGTTAGCCATTGTTCACCATCTCTTCGATCTCTGGAAGGTCCCAGGACGATCGCATCCTCAGGTTGATGTTTTCGATTTATTTCCGATCGAACAATGATTGCGTTCACTTCAACATGCTTTGGGGCTTCACGCATCGCTGTTAATTTTTTAGACTCATGACGTTCGAGATTCTCACCTTTTTTTTTTTTTTTTTGTGGAAGCTGGGGAGATGTCTCTGAAGAAGTATTTAAGATTGTTGATCGACGTTTTGACGTTTTATTTAATTGAGGTGTTGTTGGGGAGACCGAAAACAACGTTGTGCTCCCATCAGCAGATGAAACAGATTTTTCTGCATCAGATTTATGCATAAAATCGTTGCTATTTTGCTGCTTTGATAGAGTTTTACGTATAGCAGCATCCTTGCATTGGACTCTTGATGAACTTTTTTGCTTCTTGAGACTCTGTCGTGCATCCTCAAACAATTGGGACATTTCCGCCGCATTATTTTTCACTGTTCGGCATTTATATTTTTCTCTTTCAAGAAGTCCCCTCTCTTTGGGAAAAACATCGGTGTCTGATGAGAAAGCAAAGCTTTTCTGGCCTAGGATCCTTAACTTCTCCTCAAGTTCATCATAAGTATCTAATAAAGACAAGTAACACCATTATTTCTGGCGAACAACGTTTTCTAGAGCTAACAATTGGTTTTACAGCTGAGAATCAAGATTGAAGTTTTAACAATCATTTTTACCTTCCATCATAGAAAATTATATTTTTCATATTTTCTATGTCGAAATCGATATTGACAAGAATGGTTTTCATTTGTTAGGAAATAATTTTTTTAAGACGAAATCGATCAGTCCAATGTTCTCTCAGTTTTTTTTAGGAACAATGTCAATATGATTCTACACCATTAGTATATATTTCACGATAAAAAATCGCATCAATGAAGATTTAATTTTGTATAAATTAAATTTTGTTTTCCTTAATTACTTTTCGTGGTGTGCTAATATATGAAGACCATATCTGTTCATATCTATTTACAATTAAACAATATTATTCTCTACGGTCGAAGAGAAGACATATTTTTTGAAAAATTCAAACTCAATTTTTAACCATAAAATTAGAGGTCAAGTCAAAAATCACCCAACATCTGGAAGGTGACGGTGATTGTTATAGAAAATTTTTAATTGCTGAAATTGGATTAGATGCATCTTTTTTTTGAATTTTTGAGTGTAAAAACAATTTACAATTTATTTACCTGCTACTCCACGGATTTCGACCTCATGAACAGGCCAAGATTTGTTGGGACCTTCATTATTTTTTACCATTTGTTGAAATTCTTCGTATTTCTTACGATCATTAATATCTATGTCAGGGTAAAATGAGAATAACTTGTCAATGCTAGGATCGTAAAAAATCCACTTGGATGGCACACCGTCGATGCTTTTAAGACATCCTTTGTCTCGAGGAAAAATTACACACTTGTATTTTGGAGATATTGAAACACTCATCTATAAATATGCAAAATAAGATGTTATTATGCGTAAATGAACACAGAAACATTGCAGGTTAGGTTGGCCTAGGTATACAATACGTAATTTTGGTCTATCAAACGTTGTGACCCTATGACTTTCAATATAGTTTACTAATGAGAAAATTTAAAGGTTACAAAAAACGGTCTTCTCTGATATTTTTGAGAGATAGGTAAATCTTCCAGTGGTTCACTGATTCACAATTTTATGCAGATCACAATCCTTCTATTAGACCAATATAAATGATTCACATGACAACGAACCTTTTTTGGTGAAGTTATGAACGAACCGGGTAATTAATTAATCAATTATTACACTCGCGAATAACATTTAGGCAGTAAAAGTAACGAAACATGCAATTGTAGATGCAGAATGCCGGTGAAGAGTACGTTGCATCACAACCGGCATAACACTGAAACTCAGTTGGGTGCCATGACGCCATGTCAATGTTGGCCATCTTGAAGTTATGAAAATCAATGGATGAATCGATTCATCGAACTTTTTTCAGTTTTACCAATTATTTCCCATTTATCATCATTCGGATTAATAATCATGGACTACTTTAACCAATATATTCTAGTTGAAAAACAAATTATGACAATTCGAAAAAATTACACGCTTTTTACAGCAGATTGCGTATGCAACTAAGCTCACCGTCAAAAGTATAAATATCAATATTTTGTTTTTTACAAAAAATCAATTGATATCAAGCAATATTATTCGATAGAAATTGATCGACTTCATAATTACCTTGTTTAAATGATAACCCAAGAGATTCCGCGAACAGGCGTGAAGATTTTCACCACAAGATCAGAATAAATGTTCTGATGCGTTTATGCAATCAACTATTAAAGAAAGTAATACTTATTCTATTTTTCGGAGGAAATAACAGCGCTCTCAAATAGGAAATTCATTTCACATGCGTTAAATTCAATTTATTGAAAAACGGTGTGGAACCTGAATGAGGATAAAAAATTAAAACGAGAGTTAATTAATCCATGGATTCAAAGATGTATTTTAGTACACGGTTACAAGACTTGCTTTCATTGGCATGAGAGTGAAGTCCAAGGTGTTAGTGCAGTGTCCTTTGTAAATGAAAAATAATAATAACCCAACGTGGAAGTCGAAGTAAAAACGCGAATTTCAATATTTCATTAAGTTTATTCAAAGCATATAATTGAAAATGATCGATGATGGATCATTTAAGAGCCATATGCTTGGAAATTACATATGCAGTAATGGCATTGTATAGATTTTTTCTTCTTTATCACTCATTTCTAGAGTAACCATTTTTTGTAAGGCACAATTCAATTTTCGTGTTAACAGTTTTCCTTTCTTTTTACTAACACACCACATATTTAAATCGGCAGAATCACAAGGATACGTGAATATGGATTTTACTTTAACCAGCTGAATTCCACGAATTTCAATATTCTCAAATGTCTCATTGCGTAGAAGATAAATTTAATTAATTGCTAAAAGTATTCCAGTGTTTAAAAGTACTGTATTATTGGGAGGTGTGGGTGTAAGAATAATTTCTTTGTACATTAAACGCTTAATAATAATTTTCCCATTTGAATCGGCACAGAGACTCTTCAATATTTTTATCGAAGAAGATGGAGTTGAAAGCTTTGGAGATCTAGCAAAAAATAACTCATGCAATCGACGACATACTTGGGCAAGAGGTCTGTTACCTGTTCGAAGGAGCTTTTTAATTTTGCCAAGTGCATTCTCGAAAGGGAATGCTGAAATGTGGTAGAGGGGACATTCCATGTTCTTCACGTCATCAGCTAAATGTATAAGATTATGAATATTTCCAATTAAAATAGTCTTTCCGTATAATTTTGATGCTAATTCAACAAATTTTCTGAGGTAAATTTTTGCACATTCCCAGTTTTTTAAAGCCTCTTCCTTCGAACACAAAACTCTACATGCTGCATGCAGTAGTAAGAAATGTTTAAAAACTTTGTCAGATAATATCTTTCGAAAGATCACTGGTCCAGCATAGAGAAGAATAAATTTGAACTCCACCGCCTTAAAAAGTTCAAAATTTGTCAAAGATCTAGTGGTTCTTTGGAATTCAGCCGGTATCTGTGATTGTAAGTTAGTTAGTAATTTAGACAAAAGCAATTGTGTTTGTTGGCTTAACTTCGTTTTTGATTGTTTTCCAGAAATCCAATAATTCAACAGCTTTTTCATCACACCTAAACATAATAGATGCATGAAATCGAGGACGAACATATCGATCATGTTCACAGCAGGTTTAATCTTCAGTAAAGGAGAGATGCCGGTGTGATGCTCAGGATTCAGTTGCTCTCGGAACGATGTGTCAGTCCTGTCTTCAGCATCAACATCAACGTAGATAACTCGATGCTGCTCATACTCTCCCTTCACAGTGCACCTCTCGCAACCCCAATATGCTCCATGTCCTTTGATTTGTTTTAAAAAGGCACGAGCAGGCGTGTCACAGACAAATGCTTTGAGGCAAATTTTGAATACTCGGTCATTTACCAGTAATCCATTTGTATGCAATTCCTCGAGTTCCTCGATAAAATTTTTCAAAAACTCTCCCACGTCAGTTGGTTTTTTATTTCCTGAATAAATGGCAACAGGAAAAGGTTCATATTCTGTCTCTTCAGAGAAAACTTGGCACAGTATCGGCCAAAATTGCCGAGTGCTTGACCGAAACAATTGCATACCATCAACATTAATTATAAGATGAAGTACATTGGTTCCATGTAAATAAGGATTAACAGTTTTAATCAGCGTTTTGGCCACTCCAAAATAAACAAATTCACTGTCAACAAATTTTTGAATCTTATATTCAGCATTTGTTGTATCAAGAAAAACCTTTGAGCAAGCTGGCAGTGCAGGCAATAATCTTTTTCGCAAAATTTTCAGTAAACCATCCACTCGAGTGTGAGGAAGTGGTGGAACTTGAAGAGACCATTCACGAAGTTCATCAATTTCAGGTGCTTCGATTTCATCATCGAAATCTGAAAAATCTTCCTCTGCGACACTGGCCTCCCAAATATCATTTTCGCTGCCAATGGATCTCTCCAACCTGTCATCCCGTTCTTCACAGTCATAGAAATTTTCAGCCAAATTTTCACAATCACTCCTGTCTTCGTTTTCTATCTCAAAATTATCACTTGTTTCACTGACACTTCTGCTCTTTCTGTGACTTATCCCCTCATCAGAATGAATACCTGCAATTCGCTTGGAGGTTATGTTTGAAGAATCCAATTCGACATTATCCGCAAATAATCCATTCGATTCATTTGATTCCTCATCACTTAACAAGTAATCTATCAACTCTTTATCAAGTCTCCTCTGATTCTCACTGGCACGATCCTTTTGAACTTTTCGGCGTTCACTCATTCGTAATCGAGCCAGCTCGCGTATTCGTTGAGATTTAATGTTATTCAACTCCATTTTAGGATAATGAAATGAAAAGAAGAGTAAGAGTTCACACAAATATTATGTCGCAACTCAATAATTGCCACCTTTTCTGAACTGATAGTTTTTCTGAACTGATAGTTTTTCTGAACTGACAGTTCAACAATTATTCATGTAAGACTGCTTGAAGTTGAGGTGCATCCTCATGACTAACCATTTGACTTTAATATTAAAAAGAAATGTTAGCAAAAAAGTATGTCCTCAGTCAGAACTATGGTTCTATCTATAAATTCTAAGTAATTAGAACATTAATAATTTTTGAGAGATATTAGGCATAGCAAATGGACCCTTATCTGGCTCTTTTAAGGCTCAGATGAGGCATATCTCATCCGGCATGCCTATCGAAAAATAAGATTCGCGCCGAATTCGGTGGAGGTTAAGTTATACCCAATATGGTATACCTTAACAGGCTTGTCTAAGGCCCAGATGAGGCATACCTCATCTGGCATGTCTAGCGAAGAACAAGAGTCGCACCGGATTCGGTGGAGGTTAGGTTAAAGCCAATAGGGCATGCCTTAACTGGCCCCTCTAATGGTCCAGATGAGGCATACCTCATCCGGTATACCTAACGAAAAACAAGACTCGCGCCATATTCGGTGGAGCTTAGATTCGTCATGCCATACATAAATTCTAGTAGGGCTAGTGAGTAATAATTTGTGTGAGTCGGTAAAATAACCGCAATAATGCAAACAGATATTCAATACATTCAGTATATTTTAGGACTTGATAGAAGTATCGAATTTGCGTTACTTCGACAAGTCTTTGATATATTGATAAATGTTAATTTTTTTGAGTGTAGAGTACCAGTGATACTGGTAATTGTAACCGATCTCGTACGGCGCTAGACGCCTTGAAATCGGCTAGACGTTTGAAATCCGAGATGCCACGTCGCTTGCTCACTCACTGCTAGCGAACAATTGTTAATTTCAAAAGAAAAAGAAAGGAACTCGACTCTCGCACGGTTTAACTAGCAATATGCCTCCCGTACTCAGTCCTCACCTCACCGACAAAAGAACATCCCAGAAATTACTATGATTATTTTTCCGACCCAAATATCGGCCAATAGAATTGCTCCATTCGATGCCACGTGGGAGGACCCACAGGATTTTTAATCGACAATTTCTTTAATTCTTATTTCACTCTATCGGACTGCAGTATTCGGGGTCACGTGACACATTTTAATATGATAATTTCCCTGTAGCCTATCAAGTGTTTTTTTTTTATATTTGACACTCGTTTCCCACTTCATTTTGATTAAATGTGTCCTGCAACCCCCGACACCGCATCTTAATCAGTCGAAGTCCGGATTAAAGAAATTGTTGTAAATATTATTATCGAATATTTATTTTTTTTTTAATTTATTTTCGTTGTAATGAAATACAATATTCGGGGAATATCCGATAGCGAATGATCTACAATATATTTGGCACAGTGTTTACACTTTCAAATGAGTAATTGTAGTTTTCATCGAAACGCAAAAAAATGGAAAATTCCCCTCGAATCATACGTGAACGGCTTAATATATGGCGATATGCCCTCAGGCACTGGTGAAGAAACTCTATAATGTATACGAAAAATGGCTCCAGGCTGAAGATTAAACCCCAGTGTGTGACGGAGTTTTTTTTTTTCGCAATGTGTATTGCCCGAGGTCTGTTTGTACACCTGAGGTCGACGCGCATCGTGCTATACGCATTAATGGTGTCATCCATCCTGAATTTCGGCCAAGTAAAAATTCACTCGAATAGAAAAAATCATGAAAATAAAAAATGGCGATATCCTATGGAATCTTAAGCAGCAATCATATCCCACCTGTTTCCACTCATATCGTGATGTACTATTTTTTGATTATACCCGAATATATTATTTCTTACCGGCGATAATATATTTTGTTATGAAATAAAAAAAAT